TCTATTCTATTCTATTCTATTCTATTCTATTCTATTCTATTCTATTCCATTCCATTCCATTTCATTCCCCTATTCTATTCTATTCTATTCTATTCCTATTCCTATTCCTATTCCATTCTATTCTACCAGCCATTTGGGGTTCAACCATACATGCCGGGTTCTTTTTTGAAAAACATGGATGCATTTTTAAAAAATATGTGGCACTCAGGAATCACCCTCTGATCCTTTAAAAAAAAAACCTCAAAAAAAAAAAACCCTCACCGCTAAAGCAACTTTCCTGAACCTGATGCCTGCAAAGGTGTAGGGATTACAGCGCCCATATGCCACGTCTACTCGGATCCTTGAGAACGATTCTGGAGAACGGAAACCGAGAGAAGGTGCATCACGGCACTTTATTCGCTACGGTTGTTCCTCAAATCTTTGTTTCTCCAAAAATTCCAGGGAGCCCGGATGGAATTTTTCCCCCCCTGATTTTATTGCAGTTCCTTCAAGAAAAAAAGGGGGAGGGGCAAATGTGATTTTCACCAGGTGATGGGCAAGCAGAAGGCAGCCTTTTCCAGAAGGAAAGGGAGGTTTGTAGCTGAGCAACAGACAGTTATTTTTATGCAGGAAGCTATTGGTTAATCCTTGGCAGCCATGGACTACAAGGCCACTTCCTCTGTTTCTATGACATGGAGGGCTTCCTATAAGGAGGCGTGGGGAGTAGAATAACAACCGAGTTGGAAGGAGCCTTGGAGGTCTTCTAGTCCAACCCCCTGCCCAAGGAAGAGATTCTATTCCATACTGGACAAATAGCCAGAAAATTTCTCCTTATTTCCAGGTTGAATCTCTCCTTGATCAGTTTCCATCCACTATTCCTTGTCTGGCTTTGGGGTGCTTTAGAAAATTCCTTCCTCTCTGTGGCAGCCCCTCAATTATTGGAAGCTGCTGTCCTGCCTCCCCTGGTCCTTCTCTTCCCTAGACTAGCCAAGCCCAGTTCCTGCAACCGTTCTTCTCCAGCTCCCTAATCATCCTGGTTGCTCTTCTCTGCACTCTTTCTAGAGTCTCAACATCTTTTTTACAGTGTCTGATTTGGCAGTGTCCAGCCAAATTAAGAGAAGATGGTTCCGCTTAAACAGAAGGTAGATTCATTCCTACTTTTCTCTCATCTTTCCCGTCCTCCGTTTTCTTGCAGGTTCGTTGACCGTCTCCATCACCGACATGAGAGCCCCCCTGGTTGGAGGTTCAGGGGGCGTCTATGCCCTTTGCTCGGCTCACCTGGCCAATGTCGTCATGGTGAGGATTGGGCCGATCGCAGCTGTTCCTTGGGAAATAACAGACGGTGCTGAATTGGCAGGTCCTCGCCAATATTTTGTGGGGGCGAGTCAGAAGAGGGGAGATAAAAATATTGCAGAGAGAAGGACTGTCCCCGTGGCCAAAGCTAAAGCGGAGAATCTGAGGTGTCTTCCAAGCCAACTCGGTTATTTTGGCACCAGCGTTCCAGGGTAGCAGCCAAGTTAAATCGGGAAAAGTATATACAACCGCACAGCTGTGACGGTTGAGAGTGTGGCAGGCTGATTTTCCCAATTCATGGATCGGGAGGTGGGAACTTGGTTGTGAGGCGCCTGAAATAGGACAATTTACAGCTGCAGAGGGGAGAAGGTGGATGAGGAAACGGAGTCACTGAGGTACCCTTTCCTTCTCTCTCCCTCCACAGAATTGGGCTGGGATGCGTTGCCCCTATAAACTCCTCCGTATGGTGCTGGCCTTGGTGTGCAGTAAGTGTGTTTGCCTCCTTCGTTTTTTACCTCACTTGCTAACGGATGAGCTTCACGGAGCATGACAAACCATGGGTTAACCATGGTTTA